AAAAAGGAGGCGTCAGAACCAAGTTTATGCCCCATTGAAGCAAACACTATCATTACAAATTTGTATTATCTTTTCTTACAAAGAAAAAGAGCTTTAACAAGTTATTTATTAATTAATCACTGCCGGTTTAAAAGGAGTCCTTGTATTGCAATGGTTAAATGCTTAGCTGCAAACTTTTCAGTTGGTGGTTTGAACCCACCAGTGACTGAGCATTTTGAGTCATGGTGTTGGAAGAGAATATTAAAAGTATCACAGACCACCAAAAGAATAAATAAATCTGGAAGAAGTACAGCCATAATGAGGCTTAAAAGTCAGTATGACCAGATTCTGGAGAATATCATGCTTGGTGGTAAAGTGGAGGGTCAATGAAAAAGAGGAAGACCTCCAATGAGGTGGATTGGCACAGTGACAGCAGCAATGGGCTCAAGTGTAGGAATGATTATGAGGATGGCAGAGGATCAGTAGTGTTTCATTCTGTTGCGCACAGGATTACTATGAGTAAGTAACAACTCAACAGCACCTAACAACAACAACAATGGCTCTGAGTGAAAAAGACCTCACAATCTGCTCCCATGAAGATTACAACCTTGGAAACTTTAGGGCGCAGTTCTACTCCATCACATGGGGTGGCTATGGGCTGGATTTGGTTCAACAGCAACAACAACAAACGTTGTCAGGATGAATAAGATCAGATTCCCAAAGCCCTTGATTGGTCCTTCACTAATCACAGCCCTCTCCCCAGCCCTCAAATAGTTTACCATCTAGGCATACATCTATGAATGATACTTTAGATTACGATGTTTTTTATAGAGTCATATGACTTATAAAAGTCTTTTGTGTCTGGCTTCTTTCATTTAGTATTATGACTTTAAGATTTCTTATGCTGTTGTATATGGCTTCTTCATTCACTGGACTGCTGTAGGATTCAGTGCTGGTCTTCAAAAATGAAAAAGAGTTACCTTACTCCTTCCCTACCCCAGCCCCCCAGCCCCTTGGGGTGTTCTGTGTCTGTCAGAAATCTTGGTTGCCTCTATCGAGGAAAACTTACAATTTTAGCTTAACGCAGGATTTCCTCACCATTCAAGTATATATGCTCAGTGGCCACAAAGGGTTAATAAACGAGGCAATTAAATCAACTTTTCAAAAGCAGCCATGTTTTAGAACCCACACTAAACATTTTTGGCCTAATATTTCTAGTTGTAGGAGACACTATCAAACCAGGGTGCAGACTCTTGGCGCCACCTGACTCCCAGCCACCAGGAGTGGGCAGCCTCAGGATGCTCAGTGTCTCTCACAGGGAGCAGATCCCAGAGTCATCAGGGCAGTGTGTTAAAAATCACCCTGTTCTGCTGCCCTCTGATTGACTGGGTCTGAGGCCCAGGATACAGCACTTTTAAAAAGCATTCCAAGTGTTCTTGATACAGAGTGTCCACAGATAGACTACATCTTTCCCACAAATTCTCACTTAGTGGTCTCTGGCTACCTGCTAATTAAGACTAGAAAGTAACTTTTCTCTGTATTAGAAAAAGTAAACTAGAATATAGAACTATTTTTAAAGCCAATAACTTGAATTTCATTAGAAAATTCAAAGTGAGAACTCGCTTTTACACTCTGCATATGCAAAGTGAAGAGTACAGGTATTTTCTCTCCCATATTCTACTGAATTTAGACCACTGCAAATTAATGTCTTTTTCTCTCACCCTACATTCTCTTACAATGCTTTTTTTAAAAAACAAACAAACAAAAAACCCAAACAACTTGACTTTTTAATGCATTTCCAACAACAAAAATAATTTTGCTGGGCTTTTACTGCCTGTATTTTATATTGCTGTTAAGTGCTGTTGAGGCGGTTCTGAATCATAGTGACCCTTTATAGGGTTTCTGAAGCTGTACATCTTTGCAGGAGCAGAAAGCTTCGTGTTTCTCCCTCAGAGTGCTGGTGGGTTTGCAGTCTAGTGTTTATCCTACACAGCCACTGTGCTCCCATATTTTATATTATAAAAGTAAAAACGAAACAAAACCTAAGGATAGAGATACTGAAAATGCTTCTGAAACCAGATATTCAGACCACCTTTCTCTTTCCGGTGCAACTGAAAATCATTTGGAGAGACACTTTTATAGTACTATCTGCTAATGGGTGACTTGTGAATATTTGCCTTTCATATCATTTTCAAATAACATTAATTCTACAAAACAAAAAAATACAACATTAACAACTTGAATTTAAGCTCTGGACTGCTAACTGAAAGGTCGGGGGTTCAAACCCACCAGAGCAGCTCCTCAGAAACCCTACACAGGGTCACTATGAGTTGGAATGGCACTTAACAACATTCTTTTGGGGGGAAAAAACAAAACAACATAAAAACAAAGCTTGACAGGTCTTAGATACAGATATAAGCAAAAACTCTGGTCCCAGGATACACTGTTTTAGTTGACCTCAAGTAGTACAGAACAAGGGAAAACAAAAAACTCTTTGAAGAACAAGGCTTGTAAAGCTCCTCAGTGCATAGCTAGCATGTGTTCAGACCAAAGAGAAAGTTAGGAGAGTCAGCCAGTTAACAGTGTGGTTTAGAGCTCCTCCTAATGGCACAGAGAATGAATTCTCATGGTTGGCACTTTCAAAACTCTGCGTTAAGAAGACGGTGGGGGTGGGGACTAAAGGACTGTTTTAAAGTAGAGGGGTAAAGCTCATATATGAAAAGTATCAGTGGGTCCTACCAACCCCCCTAGTTTCATCTTTTTTGGTATGTTTGTTTACTTTGCTCCCTTAAAAATTTTTTAAGTCAAATGTGTATTCATTCTAATCTCAAAATTTGAAAGATCTAGTTTTTGGTTAATGTATGTGGAAAAATTACTCATGTGTTTAAATGTATTATTTATAAAGAGAAAATAGATAATCAGAAAGCAAGTATGAAAAAGCCCACAGTGATTTAATTCCCAAGTAGGTGTGCTTACTAGAGGGGAGACATTAGCAGTGTCAGGAAGCAAATACAGGTGTGATGAGAACAAAGAATCGACGAGCAAACAAGAAGGTGCATGCTGCAAACCCATTCCGTGGAAAAGTTAAAGGTATCTGTACTCTTAAGAAGAAAAAGAATGGCTTTTTGTAACTACTGTTGTTGTTGCTAAGTGCCATTGAGTCGGTTTCGACTCATTGTGACCCTGTTTAGGGCTTCCGTGGAGAAGCTGCTGGTGAGCTTGAACCACCATCCTTGCAGTCCAGCACATTAACCAGCAGTGCCACACCAGGACTCCCTTTGTAATTTTTATTATTAATGATAATTATCTGGCTAGCGAATGCTTAAACATATAGTTTAAAAGGCAATATGATAATTCAAGCCAAGGTTTTAAGACAAAGAAGAATTATTCTTAAGGGAAAAAAGGATGAAGAATTTGGCTTAAAACATAAATTTAATTTTAACATATAAGCGGCAGGTATTTATTCAAGAGAAAGAGCTTAAAAAGTACTCCTCCCAAAGTGAACAACTGATAGGTCAGTGTTTTCTACTTTAAAAAGCTGATGAAATAGGGATTTGAGACAACAGAGCTGGTATACTAATCAACCAGTTCTTACCCTTGCAGTAATTACTTTTCAATTCGGAACTCTGATTCTTATGAAGTTTCTGCATGATGCAAATAGTTAACTCCCTCAGTTGCTAACTGAAATGGTATGGTGATCTACTTCTGAATCAGTTCTATTCTGACATACATGGAGTTGCATAGGAATCAACTGGTTATTTTCATGGCTAACATGTCAAAGCAATGGATTATTCATTCCAGTGAAAACTGAAGGTCTAAGTGACTGTTTGTACCTGGTTCTGGCACCGGGAGACAGTACCTGCTTTCCTAAAGGGGGCTTCCAAAAAACTTTGTAAAGCAATCTCACTTGAAAACACTGTGGCTATTCCTTATACTTAAGGAGCTCTGGTAGTGTAGTGGTTACAAATCGGGCTGCGAGCCACAAGGTTAGCAGTTCGAAACTACCAGCGGTTCCGTGGGAGAAAGATGAGGCGGTCTGCTCCCGTAAAGATTTATAGCCTTGGAAACCCTGTGTAGGGTTGCTATGAGTCGGAACCGACTCCATGGCACGAAACAACAACAACATTCCTTATACTTAACAAGCTCTGGTAGCGTAGTGGTTATGAATTGGGCTGCGAACTTCAAAGTCAGCAGTTGGAAACTACCAGTTGTTCCGCAGGAGAAAGATGAGGCTTTCTGCTCCCGTAAAGGTTTACAGCCTCGGAATCCCAGTACAGGGTCGCTCTGAGTCAGAACCGACTCCACGGCACACAGCCACCACCATTCCTTATACTGCTTTAGACCAAGGGGGGAAGATTTGCCTCGGTAATTGTGGTAGTATGACACTGGGTTCCAAAGACGATCAGCTCAGTAATTATAAAGGGGAGACAAGGAAAGGTTCTCTCTAATAGCTTTATGATTTTGATACTTAATTAGAATTCTATTCTAGAAAGCGGAGAAAACCAAAAACCACATCTGTCAGCTCTTTCTAGTCTCTTATGAAACAGCTCTGTGCTAATAAAGTTCATAATTAAATATAATTTGACACTATTTTCTACAATTAGGCACCCATTGGTTTCTACAAATATAAAGTGAATTTTAATATAATATACAAATCTGTGTTGGAAGAAGTACAGCCAGAATGCGTCTTAGAAGCTAGGAAAGTGAGACTTGGTCTCTCATACATCAGACACATTATCACCAGTCCCTGGAGAAGGACATCATGCTTGTTAAAGTGGAGGAGGGTCAGTGAACAACAAGAAGAGCTACAGCAGCAATGGGCTCAAGATTAACAATAATTGTGAGGATGGCGCAGGGCTGGGCAGTGTTTTGTTGTACATAACGTAGCTATCTATGAGTTGGAAGCAGCTTGATGGCACTTAACAACAACAATATACTGAAATATTGCCAATTTATGTGCATTTGGGCTGTCCTGTTAAGTCAGAATTCAAAATTAGGGTGTAATTAACACTAGCTGTTACCTGGTAGATGTGCTTGTCTTCTCTACTGTGGACATGAGTCTTGCAAAAGTGTCAGTCACTTTGAGGCTTGAGGTGATTTCCAGCTTAGAAGTAGTTAACTCATACAACTCTGGATCCACACCTTATAGTATAAAATGATAGTCAGTGATGGCAAGCTGTAATGGGTTACTCAATTAGCCATAATCCAAGATGCAAAAGGCAACATTCTGTAAACATCTGAGTCTTTCACAAACACAACTTTAGAACACTGCAATGGTGCATTCCTTTTTAAATTAAAAGCTCCACTTTTAAGAGTATTTATAAAGCAGGCAAATACTTTTACAAAAATGTACTACTAATATTCACAACAAAATACTTGCCAATTTAGTAATTTCTCCATTCTTTGTGTTGTGCAACTTTATCACTGTTCTTTCTCAAATTAGGAAAATATTTAAAAGATGTATAATCTTATATTTATAGAGCAGATACCATCAAAATACTCCTAAAATTTCTATCTGCCACAGAAAACTCTCCAAATTTTGGACTATTTCCTTTTGTGGCATAGAAAATAACAATTTAAAATAAAATACTTATTATTTGCTATATAATATGAAACAATTTTTAAATTGACTAACCTTAAATTTTGGACTTCCTTTGTGTCTCTACCCACAAACATTTTTCTCTCTACTCTTTTCCTTAATATCTAAAGATCTGGAAACTAATGCGTTAGTCTCAAACATGGGAAATTATTTGGTTAGTTTAAATGTATTCTGGCCATCTGAAGATATGAAATATTACTCAAAACGTAAAATTATTACTATAGATAAACTACATTCCACACTGTTCTTCAGGTAAAGTATTTCCAGAAAAAAATTAATAAAAACAAAATGAAAATCCTTGTCTCAAGGGTTAATTATATTTCTATAACTTCACCTCTGCATCTGGTAGTTATAAATTCAAATATCTTATTACAGAAATTCAAAATGAAGCTGATTTAGAGAGTGAGATTTACTACAAAAACTATTAGAACCTAAAAAAAAAAACCTTCTTCCACCTGACTTTCCTTATATCACAAAACCCATGTTCAGTTGATTCTAAGCTGCAGCGACTCTGTAAGACAGAGCAGAGCTACTCCTTTGGGCTTCTGAAGCTGTGAGTCTTTATGGGAGAAGACAGCCTCATTTTTCTCTTGAGGAATGGCTGGTGGGTTTGAACCACTAACTACATACATGTTGCTGACTTGTTAAGCGCCACTGAGTCAGTTCTGACTCATAGCAACCTTATGTAGGGTTTATTCAGCTTTAAATCTTTTCTGAAGCACAAAAACCTCATCTTTTTCCTGCAGAGCAGCGGGTGAGCTCGAACCACAGACATTTTGGTTTGCAGTTCAGTGTTTATTGTGTGGAACCGCTACGCTTCTGATATAAAAGATAATTTTTCAATTTTCCTATATAATATATATTCATATTTAACAACAATGATGTCAACAAAACTACTGAAAAGTATAATTAAATATTTAAACTCAAGCTAAACTTTGAATAATAAAGATAGATTTTTTAAAAAAAAGTTGTAAACCCTAAACTTTCCTTGGTACCAAAAGATTAACTGAATAGTTTCAAACCGTAACAGATGAGTAGAGTGGACTGTAAGGAACAATCTCTTATAGCTCTATCAGTTTTTACTTATTTTTTCTAAAATAGCTCTACAAGATCAGCAGATGAAATTATATACAAATACATACATTACATTTAAACAACTTTCCTTCTTGTAGAATGCTTTAAGGTTACGGAAAAACAAAAATCAGGAACTGTATTCTATTAACCAGCTCTGCAGATGATTAGCAGACATAAACACAGATCTCAGATGTTTACAGAAATCAAACGAGCAGAAAGCGGCTTCCACAGTTACCATCTCCAGCAAGGGAGGAAGGCTATAGAAAATGCGTGTTGACTTTCCCAAGTTCTGAGTATTTCATTAAGGTACAGTTTCAAAATACATTTAAAAAACGTCTTTTCAGTTCCATAATATTGTATATATAGGTTGCAATTAAAATGTCAAAAAATTGTGGATGCCTGTAAAGGGACTGAGTGAACCCCCAAAAACCACCCTCCTTCACTTTGAAAGGTTAGATTCCAATTAACTTGAAGTTAATGTCTAATGCATAATGTGGAATAAGCCTTCTGATTGGCTATAGGAAAGTGCAAGTAAAAACAATTGGGCTTGTAAAATACTAGCCACAAAGGCTTCCCAATAGTAAAGTGGGAGATTGGAAAAACAACATGGTGACAACCACCTCCTCTCCCAGTCCCAAACAGCCACCACCACCAAAACCTGACTGTGGCTTTCTTTGTCAAAAAAAAGTTAACTACTTACTGTACACTAATTATTAGAGAGTAATTTTTTTTTAATTGAAAAGTTTTGTTTTTTTAAAAAACCAGGACCTTAATGAGGCAATTTAGTTATGTAACTAAAGCTAGCCAACCAAATTCTATGCCAACCTCCTAAGTCTCACACACAAAATAATTAAATAATCGCAAGCTAAGACAAAATGACTTTCCCAGAAACAAGTCAGAAACAGTGCAAGCAAATGGTGAAATGGAATACTAAGGAAGGTGCTGGTACCTGTAGCTTGATGGCAAATTTTAACAAAACTCAATAAAAAGCCAAAGCAAATTTATAATAATTAAATTTATACAGCAGCTAGAGCGTACTAACAAAAAGACTGAAAGAAAATATTCAAAAGATTCTGAAGTAATGAGGACTGCATTTGACCATGCGAATTTCACTTCCACTAGTGAAGCTCTCTCAGTTTCTGAAACCACTTGTGCTTCTCGAAGCTGCATACACTGAGCCTGGTTGTCAGGTCATTTCTGTATCGGGTTTTATAGTCAGGTTATTTGTGCTGCTATGGAAGGTTTTAAATGAGTTTGACATGTAGCCAAAAATTAAATTTAAACCAGGTTTTTAGCCATCCAAAAAGAGAAAAAATGATCTAACTTACAATACAGTTCATGGCAAAACAAAGTTGGAAGTAAATTTTAAATGGGAGCTTGGTAATTCATTCTTGGAAATACAGTAATAAGAAAAGTGATACATAGTTGTTAGGGTGTTTTTTTCCTCCATTAAGTATTGAAAAATGTCAGACAATTAATTAGCTCACCTAGGTCATACCACAGATCAAATGTATTTAGAAGTAATTTAAGTAAATAGTGAAATATCATTTTGAGATCAAAAACGAGACATAGATACGATTTTGATATGCTTACAAAATCCTGAAAACAATGAACATGATAACCAGAGGCTGGGATTTGAGGAATCCAGTCATTCTCCCAAGTAGCCTTGGGACTTCCCTGAAGCAGGATAAGGTTTCCATTCCAGATCTTGGAAAAGGGCACCCTGGGTTCCAGGCTCACCCTCAGCTGACTCTCTAGGTCTCCCCCATTTCCCAGTATGGTTCCTACACTGTTGGAAGTGGGTGGCAGGATCATCTAGTGGGACAGAACAAAACCCAGCAAATTCTCAGGTATCATGCTGATCAACGGGCATGATAACTAGATCACAAGTTGGGATGACAGGGACTCGTTAAAATCCTATTAAATAAAAGGTAAACATAAAAATGCCATTATAATTTTAATATTTTATTCAGTTAGAAAATGACAAAGTACATTAGTCCTTTGGTCAATGAACTGAACTTTCGCAGGGTGGAACAGTAACTTAACAGACACTCCAGTAAGTTTTACTTCTAGTTAGTATCTAATAGCAATCATTTTCTACTGTTAACTTTTGTACCAATTGCTTCCTCCATGGCAAACTAACAGTATACTTTCTGTTTAAGAGCTACATAAAAACAGTAATAGAGTTCTATGTGAACTATGAAAAGTAAGTGTTACACTCCAACATTTTGGAACCTAGTTAAACATTTAGCAGCACTAATAAACAATTAAGTGAATGTCAGAATTGGTATCACAGGCACTACAATATAAAGTCATTTGTGTGTATTAAACTATTCTTATCTCTTAACTTGTGTTTTTTCAAAGAGATCTATAGAATACGCTTTAAAAAATAAGCATATAAAATATCACAATTTTCACTTACAGGGAAAAAAAGTCCCTGCTTTTAACGGTCTAAGGATATCAGGGCTTATTTATTCCTAGAAACTGCTTCCGGCTCTGAATGTTACACTCTGATAAAGCTTTCCTTACAATACATTTCACATAGTCATTTGTTGTCATCAGACACTAGCAAACAACAATAAGTAGACGAAAGAAAAGCATTAGAAAGACATTATAGAGAATACAATCTAGTTGTTTCCTTGTTTATAGGAAAGTCAAGTGATGTGGTCATGCTTTTAGTAAATAAACTAGAATTGTGGTTTTAACACTCTGCTGACCTGGGATTGTGGTGTTGCTGCTAGAGCTACTGTCATCCACGGGCCCAAAGAAATCAAGGTTCAGAAGAGTGGAACCTCCACTAGCTTGAAATTCAGTGACCGTGTTGGTAGGCAGCCACACAGAAGGTAAGCCAAGGGAGGAGGGGTTATGTGTAAAAAGGGGTAAGACACACACTTGAACATGCAGGTTAAAATTAGTAATCATTACATATTTTAAAAATCAACATTAAAACAATGTGTACAGTACTAGTTTTTTATTACTAAGGACATTTCTAATGTAACAATTTAGTTCAGTGTACATTTTCTCATGTACAATGTAAATAATTTAACACTGAGTAAGGTTTTAGTTAGAAGGAGTTCAGTTCTTTCAATCAAAACTGGAAGCCATACCAGAAAGACCAAAGGGGAAAGCGTACCCGTTAAAGGGAAACAATACTTTAATCTCATTCCAACACTGAGTCATTGTACATGCCCAAATCAATCTTTCATGTTAGTAATGTTGGTTTCTAATTAATGAAATTTAAAAAGTGACAAAATTGTCAGTTTCAGGACACGCACCAACACATGAACTTAGTTTAAAATGAAATAACACAATAAGGAATACCATAACTACCCTACCCTGGTGTGTAACCTCAAGTTGTACTGTTCCCCTTTAACTCTGAAACAGTAATCAGAAAATAGTATACATTTTTAAAGAAGTTGTTTGTTAATAGAAAGCATGATGATTTGACTGAATAAGACACCAGACAACAGCAAAAGGCGCATCCAGGCTTTCCTTCAGCACTATGTTATTCAATTGGATGCTTTCCGGAGATGCTAGGACCCCAGTGTATAAGGCAGAGTTCATAGAGTGACAAGTGTTTTGGACAATGGTCGAACAACTTATGAACTAACAAGGAGTAGGAGTAATTGTATCTCAGGGTCCACTTAAAACTTGTGTAGTCAACACAAGGGGAAACTAGCATTGGGTGTTACTTACTTTAAAGACCCCATATTACTGGGATGAATTATTCCTTTTCCAGGATTGGGAAAAAAAAAAAAAAAAGTCATAGTAAATTTAATTATTTCTGGAACTTATTCATAGCATTTGGAGATGAGTTTCAGAAAAGGATCTTAAAAAATAATTCACTATCCATTTATTTTTAGGTGCTCTATAAAACATTACTATATCTGAAAACCACTTTGAGTCAATAAATATGGATGTATTTGCACATTGTTTTTGTCAAGAATTGTGCTTTGAAGCAGCCTCTGATCACAAGATTTTACATCCAAGAAAATTCCATAAATTAAAACTCCAGAAAAAAAAGTTCCAAGTAAATTGGTCCTAATCAAAATACTGTAACTACACTACCTATATATTAAAAAAAAAAAGAAAAGAAAAAAAGGCAGCAGCAGCTTGTTTTTCAACTTAAACTAAAATTCTATTTAGTTAATAAAACCTAACACATCAATATTGTTAACAATAGTAAGAGCTGGTTTCTTAAGCAATTACTATTCAGAAAGAAAGCCTGAATTTCCAAAGAATAAAAAGTTATGTTCAAATAAAAAGGGAAATCAGCAGAGAGAAGTCTGTCTGAACTTTGTAGCTTTCTTAACTCTAGCTCTGGCGCTAGAGACTCTACGGAGAGACGTACCATCTAAAGGGTTAGTAAGGCCGCTGCTGCTCCAGTCAAACTGGACGGGTGGTAGACACTCCTAGAGTTGAAAATCAAAGAATCAAAATTAATCAGTACCAGTTGTAGCAACATGAAGAATTTAAAAGTTATTATTTTTAAATCTTTATAGCAAGATCATTAGGCAACAAAACACCTAAAGACGAAATTGGGAATGATGCACATTTTCAGCAAGTCACCTGCAGATATTATCATTAATGGAAATAACAAAACTGATAAACATTAAAATAGTTGTATCTAAAAAATGTATCTTTATATTTTCAAATAGAAATTTGTGAACTGATTCTTTGTCAAGATTTCATTCTCTGAAATCATGATTTAATTACAATAAAATTGTTAAAATATTTAAAATGCCACTATTTTTTTCACTAACAAGTAATTTAATAAAGTACATGTGAATCATGTTTCATATGAGGCATATCTGAAAATGCTACTGTATTTAAATTACTATAGCCATTTAAAATTTCTTCACAAATAATGTATTGCAATAAAGGTACCATACTTAAAGTGAGGAGATTTTGGTTATTCAAGACAAGGTAACCACTAAGTAAGTAGCTGTATGATCTTGCATAGTTCCATTAATTAACTTGATCTCATGTACGTGAAATGAAAAGGTTCAAGGTTCAACGTCTTTTGTTCTATACAACTTCCCAACTTTTGCAGAAAATTTGGGCCACAAATGAGAACTATATTTCTTAAAAAAAGATGATTTCAAATCTTTATTTTAACTATCTTCTGTAATTTAGAGATTGGCTATAACCCACTTTCAGAAATCTAATTTTTACAATATGCGTTAAAAAAGACTATTCAGAATGGACTTGAATATTCTAGGCTTTTAAATTTCATAACTGCCAAAATACATAAAGATAAAATGAGCAAATGAAACATTTTCTTTCCTAAATAATCATTGATTTGTTTTAAGAATACTCTTGAAAAGAATGTATTTTAGGATTTTTCTTTGTTTGGAGAGGAGGGTCTTGACAATACTTATTGAAATAACCTGTGTTTTCTTAGATTCACTATATGGTGATGGTGGTTATGTGCCATGGAGGTGGTTTCAACTCATAGCGACCCTGTATAGGGTTTCCGAGGCTGTAAATCTTTACGAAAACAGAAAGCGTCATCTTTCTTCTGTGGAATGGCTGGTAGTTTCAAACTTCTAACCTTGAGGTTGGCAGCCTGACTCATAACCACTATATTACCAGAGCTCCTTGTTAAGTGCTGCTGAGTTGATTCCAATTCATAGTGACCCTGTCCTGTATAGGGTTTCTGAGGAGTGGCTGGTGAGTTTGAACCTTGAACCTTGTGGTTCAAACGACATTCTGGTCCAGCACATTATCCTGCAGCGCCACACCAGGACTTCATATATATACATAAACACACACACATATATAGATATGTAGCGATTAGAAAGGTTTTAAACAGAAAAAGGTCTATATTTTCAAGTCTAAGCAGAGACCAATATGTTCTCTTTCTTTTTTAATTACTTACCATCATGCTTTACTGTGTGGTCAAAAACCCACAAAACCTGTTGCCATGGAGTCAATTCCGACACATGCTTTACAAAGTACAACTGGCCCATGAGGTTTTCTTGGCTGTAATCTTAAAGCAGCAGATTGCCAGGTCTTTCTTCTGCTGTGCCATTGGTGGGTTTGAACCAACAACCTTTAGGTTAATAGCTGAGTACAAACCATTTGTGCCACTATTGTATAGTTGTTGTTAAATGCCGTTGAGTCGATTCCGACCCATAGTGACCTTGTATAAGGTTTCCAAGGAGTAGCCTGTGAGTTTGAACCATTATTGTTATCATTGTTGTTAAGTGCTGTCGAGTCAGTTCTGGCCCACAGCGACCCTGTACAGGGTTTCCGAGGCTGTAAATCTTTACGGGAGCAGAAAGCCTCATCTTTCTCCCGTGTAGTGGCTGGTAGTTTCGAACTACTGACCTTAAGGTTTGCAGCCCTAATCGTAACCACTACGCTACCAGAGCTACTTATTGTATAGTTGTTGTTAAGTGCCGTCGAGTAGGTTCCCACCCATAGCGACCCTGTATAGGGTTTCCAAGGAGCGGCTGGTGAGCCTGAACCGCCAACCTGACAGTTCAAACGACTTTGCAGTCTGGCACATTAACACACAGCGCCACATGAGGACTCCTATTGTATAGTAGGCAGTATTAATACTTCACATTCACTTTTTCCTGGGTAGTTAAAGACACTGCCCTCTATAGAGACAGGGCAGAAATAGATATAAGGAAATCAGGTCAGGCCTACATGTGGAGTGGAGAGGTATAAACCAAGTAAAATGCTAACTAATGCTCATGGTTGCCAAGGATTAGAGAGGTGGGGTAGCTGGGAGGATGTGACAAAAAGGGAGATCTTTATGGTGACACACTAATTCTGCACCTTGATTGTGGCAGTGGTTACACAAATCTACATGTGATAAAATGACACAGAACTATACACAAACACTGTACCAATCAATGTCAAATTCTCCGTTTTGATATTATAGTTATGTAAAAAGTAACCATAGAGGATATTGGGTTGAGGGTACAGAGTACCTCTCTGCATTATCCTTGTAACTTCCTGTGAAGCTATAGCTATTTTTGAAAAAAGCAAGCATGCTAGTGAATGCCTAGTGTATAATCTACCTGCAAGACTGATAAACAGTATTTAGAAAAGATCTTTAGTTTATCTGAAAAAATAAATACAAACAAGCAAAAATAAAAATTTATGTTTTTTAGTTGTTGACACCATATGGTCATATTCAACACTGGGTGGATAGACAAAGCCTATATTTATGTAATAATAAAAGTGTCTGCACAAATGGGGCAAAGCCCTTTCATGAACAAGTTTTTTCTAAATGATGGTCAGTATCTGGATGTTTCAGTTATTTGATGGAATTTTAGCTTTTCATCCAGGTGTATGGTATTTTGAAGACATAGTGGCTGTTTAAGTACTGTCGAGTTGGTTCCGACTAAGTGACCCTGTATAGGTTTCCGAGGCTGTAAATCTTTGCAGAAGAAGAAAGCCTTAACTTTCTCCTTTGGAGCGGCTGGTGGGCTTAAACCACCAACTTTGTGGTTTACAGTACAGTGCTTATCCTACAGAACCATCAGACTGCCTTTGAAGACAGAGTCTATGTTTTAATAATGAAGGGCTAAGGAGTCCTGGTGTGGCATTATAGGATCAGCACTGGATTGTGAAATACAAGGTCAGTAGTTTACCGGCTACTCCTCAGAAACCCAATACAGAGTCGCTATGAGTCAAAACCAACTCGATGGCACTTAGCCACAACAACAACAAAAACAAAACAAGCAAGTAGTTGGTAGAAGTGAGGAAAATGTAAAACAGGATACCTAAATAAATAATCATAGGTTAACTAAGTGAGTAACGCAGCTGGAAGAGAAAGCACTGGAATGGGGCATTTTAACCTGTAGCAATGTGATATGAAGAATTACTGTAGAGACAAAGGAAACGAGGTCATGGCAAAAAGAGCTTAACTATGGAGACTGAAGACAGGACACTTTGGTTCTAATCTTAGCTATACTATCCTTTCCAAACATCTTTTCTTACTATGAAAATAGGAGAATGGTGATTGGTTTTTGGTTTTTGCTTCTTCTACCTCTAAAACTATAATTCAAAATTGAAAGAATCACATCAAGTAGGCTAAGCAAAGAAGTTTTCTAGTACTACCTAGTGAGTTGCTCTACTCAACATCGAATAAAGTGTGGCTAAAGTACTGATCCTTACAAAGAGGGTTATAAGTAATGGCACCTTAAAGGGTGTGGCTGTGAAAGTCAGTGGAAAAAACCTCAAAAGACATCACTACTATTTTTACCTTTAAGTTGTCCTTCCAGAAAAACACCACTGACAGTTATAATACGTTAGTGAGTTCCTACACAAATGATGCAGTGGTTACAAAATTAATGAATCCAGGTCAATCTGGGGGAGAAAAAAACCTTAATGGGTACCAAAAGTTGGGATAGCAGTATATAGAGACAGAAGGCAGTCATAATGAGTTTGAAAGTCATTGCTCAATGATGCCAAAACAAAAAATATAAAAGGAAGGTCTGCTATGTGTCATCTTAAAAATCCAATCTGATCTTGTTAGGTCTTCCCAAACCACAGTTTGCTACGTTTCTAGCACTATGACATGTCACCTGAGAAATATGACTAGCAGGAAGATATAACATTATTGCACCATGGCTAAAAAGTAAAAGTTCTACTACGCATTCTGAAATCTTCACTAAGCAGAATGAAAACCTATAGAGGCTCAAGTCAATTAGAAATAAGTTGAACAATTTCATTGGTAAATATTATTTTCATTGGTTCCCAAATAAAGCCTAGAAACTAAAGCTGAGGTTCACAAACTACTACTGAAAAGTAGAAAACACACCTGTTAATGTAATATTTACATTTGATTAAAAGTAGCTTTTTTAGAAGTAGCAAGAGAACAAATTCCATCTTCTTGCCAAAAAAAATTTAGATATACTTAAATGCTGCCAAAAAGATATGTGACTACAGTGAAAAATGTCATAATAAGACCAATGATCAGAACTAAGGGTGAAAATGACTACTGAGAGCCATTCTGATCAAACAGGTACTCGTGTCCACGATTATGAACACCTCGAAGTAGGTGGAGGAGGAAGGAAGGAGAGCAAAACTGGCAACAAGTGGCCTCGAATAAGAACAGCTCCATTTTCAGTAAGTACACTAAATGGTTACTCAAGTTATTTTCCCAACACTTAGTGCTAGGAATAAGAATGTCTGTCGAGTGAGGTAGAAGTGAGAATGTGCTGTGGGAGATGGAATTTTGAAGCCTGCATTCATACAGCAGGCCTGGAAGAGCAGCTGATAGCCAGGGGCAATATCAGGGTAACAGAAAGAAGATAACCAAGGACGGATTCTATCTACTGAGACCTTTTGCCCAAGCCCCCTTTCCTGCTGACCATCTAGGGCAGTTCACTGGGCACACTAATTTAGTGCCAGTGGCAGGCTGATTTCAAAGTGAGATTACTGCACACAGCAGTAACATTAGATGGATTTTTGGTAACACAACTGAAAGAATATGAGCTATGCGCTATTTTATTTCTTCAGTAAGTTCTTCAAAACTAGCTCCACAGGTCTATCTCTTGCCCCCTAACGTCACAAAAAGGATTCTGTGATCAATTAAATTTAAGAAAAAATGGATTACACTGAAGTAAGGTTACGTAATGCCAGATTCTTCAGAGTCCCTAGTAGGCCTGCTGAGGCTCTCCAGGGGTGGTGGTGAAGGTATGATGTTGAGTTTCTCTAGGGAAGAGCATTCAGTGGAACACATATTTTGGGAATGGCTATCCAGACAAGTATATTTGTGTTGGAAATAGTTGAAGATAATATTTAAGGTTAAGAAATGACAAGAACATATTTTAGATACGGTAATAATGTTGTTAAGTATCATTGAGCCAGTTCTGATTCATAGCGACCCTGTATATGGTTTCTGAGAAGTTGTTAGTGGGTTTGAACTGCCAACCTCTGGTTAGCAGTTCAGTGCTTATCATACAGAAAATGCTCACTCAAAACTACTAAAGAACAACTTGTAACCAACACTGAGTCTGTTTCTAATTTGATGTGGCAAGCAAATAAAATTGGCCCATTTCCCCCAGATAAAAGGTGAGTGAGAAAATTTTAACATTAAATTTATAAATTTGTGCTTAAATGTGTCACAGAAGTAGAGGATATTAAAGGTAAAATAACTTTTATGCTTCCTAATCCATACAATGTAAAGTTAAGACCCTATCTTTTTCAATTTAACAGTTTTACTCATACTCTCGGGCAACAGTGTTTTGAGGCAATGAACACGCCTAAATATTATTACTTTACAAAATGTCTCAGCCTTCAGGGAAAAATACACAATAGCACACTTGAAAATGTGGGGTAAATGCAGTGCTCCTAGTTTTGGGAAAATCTAGCACTTAACAGATTTGTGTGTCAGAAATAATGATCACAAAATGCTCAAGCTACAGGGAGTCCTGTGAGACAACCTGCTTCAATCTCTGCACTGTATAGGTCAAGAGGCTAAGGCCTGGACAGACTTACCATAACCACCTTGTTCTCAAATTGTGCGTTCCTTATTTTTGAAACTAAAGATAGTTTCCTCATTATATTTCAAGGGATATTTATAAAAAATCATAATCATATCCATCATCGAATTAAAAACTCATACAATAAGGGAAAGAACAGTATGTGTGCATGCGTACATACTCAAACATATCTACACATATATCTGGATCTTTTTACCTGGAATTGATCAGATGTACATGTGTTCATCTCTGGGGACATGGTGGTTGTCTGACCGATAGAAGCAATTTTTTCTGCAGCAGATAGTGGTTTCAATGGTTCCTTGGTGGGCTCTAACATACCCTGAAAAAGGTATATTTATCATTAACATCAGAAGGAAGGAAAAAGAGAGGGAGGAACCCAATCATAAACTCTATGAAAAAGTTAATCAAGCAGAAAGCAAGTACAGGTAATTTGTAAAGTACTAAACTAAAGGAAACTCTTCTTAATTTTGTTTACAGAGAATCTTTTTTAGCACTCTAATGGGAAATGTTTTACAATTAAACCTTTGGCACCACAGTTCATTTATTTTGAAATAAGACTTCATATTAAATCAGATTTGTTTTAAAGTGCCGTTATATGAAAACATAAGCATAATTTGGGACTTGTTTTGGAGGGAGGGTTGTTAATAGATCATATTCAGGTCCTAAGAATGCAGCACTTTTTATGACAGTTCAGACATGGAAATGAGAGGAAAGGGCTCAATGAGTGCACATTACACCAGGATGGTGCTTGAGGACCTAAGAGCTGACTCTCAAACATACCATCTATGTGATGACCTCTACTCCCTGGGTGTGAATTTAGGGTTTGATCCCAATTTTCATGTGTGCAAGCTTTGGCAGTCAGTACCTTGCACTGGTAAATAAGAGACACAGCTCTTTCAGAGGTCAACACTTCTCAAGTTCTCGTGGGTTATGTTACAAACCTAATACACTTTCTGAGTAAAAAGGAAGATATTTGGGTGCAGAAACAAAGAAATTAAAACAAAAACACCCGGCATTTGTGTTAACACTCTATATCAAATAGTAAATGGCTAACACAGCTTGAAAATAAGTCAAGCTTTTATATATTAAAAATAGTATCTAATAAGCCCTTGACTCATTTAAAGGTTATATCCTAGACAAAATTCTGCCTTAATGAGGAGAAAACTCAAAGTTGCTAAATCACTACTATGAGGATCTGTACATTTTAAAAAATCAAGTATTCAGGAGAATCTCCCCCAACAAAGTATGTCTAAGTTGATGAATGCACTTTATAGGTTCAATTCTAACAATGATACATGTTAAGACAAACAAATGCAATTAAGTTCCGTGGTCTAATTCAATACCATATACTTCATATAGGCTCCTAAGAGGTCCTTATGCAAGATGACAATATATTTGGCAAAATAATTACTAGTCTCAGCCTACTTTTCTAATGTGAACTACCACTTAAACTAGTGGTTTTCAAAATGTAGTTCCCAGTCAGCAGTTTCAGCTTCACATGAGGACTTGCTAGATCCACAAACTCTTGGGCCCCACTCTTGAACTACTGAAAAAAAAATTCTGGGAGGGTGTTCAGTGATTTGTGCTTCAACAAATTGCAACTAAGTGATTCTAATGTACATTAAAGTTCCAGAACCAGTGACTGAAAATGATTGTTTCAGATATTATTCTAGATAAAATGAAAATATTGAACATGAACATCTACTATGTAGAGCAACTTTGGAAAAAAACTAGGTATAATTAAAATTTAACATTAGGTGTTAAAAAGATTAAGTTTCTAAATGAACAATATAACAAAGAGTAGATGAATTTACATTCACCAAATAAGCTTTCTGATTATAGCTTACAAAAAGTGGCAGAATTATTATTACTAATAAAGACTGCAATGAAGGTAGAATATAAGGCATAACCCTTAGCTTCCAATTCCTCACAAACTTTAAAGAACTGAATAATGTACTGACATTACACATAAACATGAAGCAGGTCATTTCTCCCAACACACTGAATGAAAGCTCCACAAATTCAATCCTTAATTACTACTCACAATGTGACAATAACAATGCTAACAACCTCTAGAATGCTACTTTGTAAGAAAAAGAAAAATACAAACTGCCAAAAAGTTAAAGAAATGTTCTGGATTATATTTACTTACAACAGAAAAAAATGAAGGAATCACCAAGGTGTTTTTTAAAGTACAACATAACCATTTACAAAGCAGCAGAAACTGACAAAAAAGCTCAAGCAAAGAAAACTGCAAAAATAATGCAAAATGTTCTCATTCGGTACTAATAAATAGTGCTTATCGTAGTGGTTACGAATAGGGCTGTGAACCTTAAGGTCAGTGGTTCAAAACTACCAGCTGCTCCGCGGGAGAAAGATGAGGCTTTCTACTCCCGTAAAGATTTACACCCTCAGAAACCCTGTACAGGGTCGCTATGAGTCGGAACCGACTCCATAGCACATAACAACAACATTCATGGAACGGAGCTCTGGTGTGGTGCTGCAGATAAGCACTAGAATGCTAACCACAAGGTCAGCAGCTGAAACCCACCAGCTGCTCCCTAGAAACCCTATACAGGGTTGCTATGAGTTGGAACTGACTCAAAGACACTTAACAACACAACTCATGGAAAAAGTTTGCAGAATAAACAAGTTCCACAGCAAATCCACTTTCACATGCATACAATGGGTTTATAAACTCCAAACAAATAATTTTCCCCTTAAACATTGTGTTTCCCCTTTATTTTTGAGTTATTGGTGAATAATTAGAAATATTTTTAGTTTGATAGGACTGTTTTATTCACCAATAACTCAAAGACACACCAGTAAACACAAGCACATCAAACTTTAAAATGTGGCTGAAGTCTTGGTAAGATACAGAATGAAAATTCCTCAGTTATCCTGGACTACCTGGCATATCTGAAAAAAACAAAAGTCAACATATTTAAATTTAAAACAGTAATGGAAAAACCAAGGACTTAGTGGTCCTGGCTTATTTTCACGTAACATACTTACACAGTTTTCAAGCTTTTATATATATACATTCATAACCTTGATATTACCTTATTTAAAGCTAATCACAACTGGAGTAAGACAAATTATATCTTTATGCCTTGAAAAAGTTTAGCTGCTTCCTTTTAAAAGCAAATTCAGAAGAAAAGAAAAGAAGTCAATCTAAAACACAACTATCCATGATCATTGGAATATAGAAAATCTTGATAAAAGGGGTTTCTGAAATTAAAAGGGCTATTACTATGTAAAACAATTTTACAGAACTAGAGCATTAATGAAGACTACACACAGCGCCATGTTTGTACTTACCAATCCTGCTGCGTACATGGGCACTATGACAGGCTGCTTCTTGTTGCCCGTGAAAAGCTACATGCATGTATTAGAGAAAAAGAACACATATTTACAGAATGATCTATCACTGAATATTTCCCAAAATACGTTTCCAATTCCTTATTACATACATTGTGAATAAATAACTGAAAGACCTGTTCACCTACCCACATGGGGTTATAAGTTTGATCTTACGGGTAAGGGAAAAACAGGAAAACTTTTTTCTAAAAATAAGAACTATCAATTACAGAGAAAAATTCAGATTTATATTGAAAAATGATATATTCAAAGTATAGGAACATTTAAGCAAACATGTGTATTTTTCTGAGGAGCTAGCTTATCACATGTAGAATCAGGTTGTAACAGAACTGATAAAAATCCATAGGTTGGTTGATTAATGGACTTTTAAAGGCAATGACAAACTTACAATGTTCCGAGTGTCTATTCCCAAGGAGCACAACAGCTTCTTGTTGCTATGGGAACCGCCCCACTGATATCTCAAGCCATGAGCGTCATGAATATCCTGAAGCTCTGTCCACACATCCATCAGTTCCCTGCAAAACCCACAATGAAGCCACCAACAGCAATGGGTTACTTCACAGCTTCCAACATGAATTCTACTTTCACTGTGATTATAACACATAGATCCCAATAATTTTATGTCTAAAATGAGCAAACAACTATTACCAACATTTATAGTCATTAGAAAAGTTACTAAAGTTAAACAAATTTGGAATCAAGCAGAAACAAATCAAGCAGAAATTTAATCTGTATATTATTTATTTTTTTATTGTAAAAATAAAGGAAGTATCTAAAGGAGGCCAAAAAAATCAGGCGGTACCCCACCATCCTAATGTATTTATTGTATATGTGTTTTCTCCTTAAGTCTTGGTTTACAAATACCAAGCTGCAATGATTGTTGTCGTTGTTAAGTGCCGCTGAGTTGGTTCTGATCCATAGTGACCCTGTATAGGGTTTCCAAGGAGCGGCTGGTGAGCTTGAACTACCAACCTTGTGGTTCAAACAGACTTTGCAGTCCAGAGCATTAACCCGCAGCACCACACCAGGACTCTGCTGCAATGATTGTTGTTGTTGTTAAGTGCCATCAAGTTGGTACTGACCCATAACGACCCTGTATAGGGTTTCCGAGGAGCAGCTGGTGAGCTTGAACCACTGACCTTGCAGTTCAAACAGCTCTGCAGTCTGGCGCATTAACCCACTGTGCCACACCAGGACTCCGGTGCAATGATAGCACATATAAAAATAGCATCTTTATGTATTTCCTAGTCTGTATCCATATTGTTTTTAATGGCTTTGTAATTTTCTTTGACTAATGCACCCTCATTCAGTCACAGTCCTACAGTTTTATATAAACTACTGTCACTGTTTGAATCTTATTGTTAGTAAATGTGGTGCAACGAGTTACTAAATATGGCCCTTTATAGCACCCCACCACAGATTTTATGATTCCCACACAATGATTATTAGATGGGACTGATGTGGTGCTGTGGGTTAATGCGCCAGACTGTAAGGTTGGTTTGAACTCTAAGGTTGGAGGTTCAAACTCACCAGCTACTCCTCGGAAATCGCTCCATTTTGCCATCCCACTAGGCTTAAAATGAGTCATACCAGAGACTAAAAGAGGGGACCTCACTAAAACCAAAAACAAATCCAATACTGTAAAGTTGATTCTAACTCATAAGGGGCTTTGGCACCATCAAGAAAAATGGGCTGGAAGGAGCACATCCTTTGGACTCAGGGTCCCTGCATTGAGAACTTCTTGGCCCTAACAGACAGAGCTTAACAGAGAAGAGCTTAACACCAAAGAGAGTACAAGACACTGAGAAGTGTTGGCAGAAACTAGAGTAACAGAAGCAGGAGAGCAGTGTGAAATGGTGCTGAGGGCTTCTTGGTTCAAGAAGCAAGGCAGGATTGAGAAAGCTGAGTGTCTTTGGGCAGGAGGATTCCTGGCAAAGTGAATGTCTCTGGGCATTTATCTGTGGCATTCAGCTGGCACTTAAGCTTTGTAACACTTGCCTGACCAGGGCAGAGGCCAGGTCTGAGCGAGGCCAAAGGGTGAAGGCCAAAAGAGGAGGTCTATCTTTCATGGGGTTGCAAGTAACCCTGCATAGCCACAAGGAGGTGAGAGTGGTCTTGTACTAAAGAAGGTAAACATTGCTTACATGCTTCCTGATCTTGATCCTGCTACTAATATGTGTTGTTGTATAGCTGAACAACAACAACTGTCTTACTCCATGAGGATGAGTCTCTTGGAGAGAGATTACTAGGTCCTGGAGTATAAACTTTTTGGAATCTTTCTGCACAGATAGTACATTTCAAAAAAATTACACCCAAGCAGTTTCATTATGTCAAACCAGAAACTTTTCTGTCCCCTCTCTTCTCACAAATGACCCCCCAAAGCGCATATAAACACACATTAGAACTAACAACACAATTTATAGCTTCAATGAAATTAACCCACAAATACTGGAGATGAAGGAGTGGTAATTGACTTAGTAGAATGGAGAAAGGAGAAACCCGCAGTGGGAGAAAACGCCTCTGGAGGCAGAGAAGGATGAGATGCAAGCGAACAGGCCAGGAAAAAGAATAGCTTTGAAATTAAATCTCTACCATCCAACTAACTAACAAGAATTCTAGGAAGAGGAAACAGATAATAGAAAGAAAATAATTGCTTGAGTACTTGTATAAGAAAACTGTCCATCAAATTCAGTGAGGTATACTTGCTGTCCTGGCTATTCTAATAAGGTTAATATTTTTAAAATTTTGAGTTAGATACTAGTTAAGTGTGTGTGTATATATATATATATACACACACACACACATACATATATATATGTATATGTATGTATATATATATGTATGTTTATAAAGTTGTTTTCATTAATAAATATTATAAATTATAGTTCAGAAAATGAAAACTACTCAATATTAAAGAACAGAGCTTCCACGCAGGCCATTAGCAAGACACTTCACTGCAAGACACTGTGAAATCTCTTTAACACTAGCAACAAACTCTAAATTTCATGAGAGGGTAGAATAAAATAAAAAATACTCCCTATGTGCCCTTATCCACACAGAGTTCGGAGAGAATGTGCTCCAGTGAAATGGGATCTGAATAGGGGAGGTACAATACATGTCTGAGAAGCCTAGAAAGAAATGATTCCAGATTGGAACAGAAAAATAATGGCACATATAGCCTAAAAGAGCCACTGTCATACAGTCGATTCGGACTCACAGTGACCCTATGTAGAAACTTCCGGAGGCTGTAAATCTTTACGGAAACAGAAAACACCTTTCTTTCATGGATTCAAACTGCTGACCATGCAGTTAGCAATCCAACATGCAACACACCACTCTAGCAAGCCTCCAATAATCTAATAGGCTTGAAATCACAAGTAAAACTGTATTAACAGACTGTTGGCGGATATAGAAAGGCTTAAAAAAGAAAAAGAACGCATTTATTATGTCTAGAGAAAAAGTTGCATTATAAAGAAAATAGTGGTTTAGCAATGTATAATATCTACACGTAGGATAAACACTGGACTGCTGGCCACAGGTCAATGGTTCAAAGCCACCAAGCTGACCCTGGGAAACCCTATACAGAGCATTATGAGTTGGAACCAACTCCATGGCACTTCACACAATAATAACGAAAACATCAAATAACAATTTAAGAAAAACCTGTGATGATGTAAGTATACTGGGAAGATGAAAGGAGAAAAAGAATAGGTGTAATCTAAATTCACATCACACACACTTTTTGGAATCTGTGTGTATAGCTAGTACATTTCTTACTATATAATAAAACAAATTGAGTAGAATATTGATTTAGAAATATCAAAAGAAACAGCTCAAAGGGGAGAAGTTTTAAGTTTTACTACTTACCCACTTTCAGCTAAGGCCTCTCTTTTCATCTGCAAGGAGCATGATTCCAGTAAGTGCTTCAGAGAAGTAACTTCCTCCCCAGCATCAGGGACAAACATGGAAGGAAAACATGCTTCGAAAATCCGTTCCAGGCGGTTTAGTAAAGCTGTCTGCATTAAAACATCCCCCAAAAATTTTACTTTCATTTCTTTAATTTTAATATCACTGATTTATCAGTAACACACACCCTCCGCAATACTGTAAAAGCGGGAGGAAAATCATCACACAGGTAGAAGAAACACTGCGAGGGATACAATTGCTCTTAGAACTATTGTTCTATATGTTCAATTACTTTAAACAATCATGGTAATTATATAGTAAGTAGAAAATACATGCAACCACGTGCCCAGCACTATATCTGGCACTTTACAAACATTATCTTACATAAATAGGGAATATTATCCACCTGTATGATGGGGTTTTTGAAGCCTCTTCATATAGTGAAAAAGCAATATTAAAAGTTAGAATAATCTTCCCCATAAAAAACAACCCAATGTAACAGTCAGCATTCACCTTCCTTTCCATCACACTAGGCTATCACCACCACTTATAGACTTTGGATTTAGAAACAATAACATTTGATGCTTAAGAACTTTTACTGGGTCACAGGCAGCTAAATTTTGGAAGTCTTTAAAAAACTCTGTTGCCAATAGTACAAACCAAAGTAGGAAAGAATGTCTCAAATTTTTACATAAGAAACTCAGCAACTTATTTATTGTTTTGGTGATGTGAATGATCTTATAGAAATTCCACTTCCTACTCTTCTGTGGTACAAATATCTTGGACTGCAAACCACAAGGTTAGCAGTTCAAACCCACCAGCTGTTCTCAGAAACCCTGAGTCAAAACCAACTTGAAGGCACTTAACAACAACAATATACAAAATTATTATTTTTAAAATAGAAAACTACCTTCCCTCTAAGCAAAGCCTGAATACTCAGAGTATTTTCACCAAGGTCAGACAGATAAATTTCTTGGCAATTTGGAATATTTTTAATGAATAAAATTTGGATTTAAATTAATTTACATTTTGGGGGGTACCACCAGATTTAACGCACCTGTGCAATCAATAGTAAAATTTATTCCTACTTCCCTAATTCTGTCTCAGGCACATGTCAGATATTTTTCACCTTAGCACAATTTACCACTTAAACATCAAATAGGAACACACACTCTTAGGAAAAGTTAGCGCCTCTGGAAGAGTAAAGTGTACTATTGGGATGATACTCAATAGACAAGAAAATGTCACATCATGGTAGTATGTTCTGCCAAGTAACACAAACAAGTTGACAGCTGATTTTCAGTAGTATAGTTGTAGTCAGCAACCAGGGAAATGAAAAACAAAAGGAAAACTTTTTCACAAACATATTTTCCAACCAAAACCTCTCTTTTGGATGCAGCAAGAGGGTAAAAGCTTAACACTGCATAATTAGTCTCAGGGTGCAGCTTCTGTTAACTAAATGTAAGTTACTCTAACACCTTCATTACATCCATGTGTGTGATGTGGGAAAAGGTTCTCACTATCAATTATGAAACCTAAAGTGAAGGGGAGGCTCAAGATCCCAAGGTTGTGAAACCTGAGTGCATCAAGGGGCCCAGGCACTTACTCTCTTCAACAGAGGATATGGACAGACCAGACTTTGAAAGGGATCAGATAACCATCTAATTGGAAATATGATGCAGCACTGGCTCCTCCTGGGCAGAGAAGGTAAACAAAACTCACACAAGACCAAATTTTATTTCTCTGCAAATTAAAACGGAATCTTTCTTGTATCCTCTTAGTTATTTTCTTAATGGTATAGCAAAAAAAAAAAGTCTATCAAAAGAAGAAAGGAACAAGCCCCAAATTAATTCACTTATTTAGACAGTACTACGTTGTAGACACACCACTGAGCAAATTTTCAAATTAGGAAAATGTCCTCAAAGGCACTAAATATTACCTATCACCAAAGTTTTGCTTTGTATTCAACCTTTTCTCATAAAGGATACAGTGTAAAACCTGCAAAAGCTGACCTATGTAAGGCAGAAACCTATCAGCGAATGAAAATGTAAATAATACATTTCACTAAAATGACCAACAGAAAAGTGGTTAAGATTGCAACCTGGCAAAGGTGGAAACTTTTGGAGACCCAGAAAAACAGTAGTCCCAAGGAGTTCTGATTCTCATAGGTTTTACTGTACATTGCACAGAAATGTAAATTTCTATGTATCTTTAGGGCTAGATGTTAAATTTCATTACTTCAAATCTTTTGTTGAATGAGGTAGAAAAGTAAAAGGGTAGGAATATATAGGGCTAGGTAGGAAACATTTTAGGATATGCAGGCTCAGGTTACTTATAAGCAATTAAGTGTAGCCGTGTTCAGTAAAACTATTTACAAAAACAGGTAACAAGACAGATTTTGTCCCATGGGTCATAGTTTGCCAGCCCCTGAGGTAGAATAATACATAAACTAGATTCAAATAACCAGAGCCCACTAACTGAAGAGTCACCCACCACAAAGAGGAACCTGTTAGAGACTTCTGCAAGAAAGCAGTTGAAGTAATTAGCAAATTGCTCTAACATTTTACTTTTAGAAGAAAATCACTTTTCAGCTATTACTAAACCAGTTTGTCAAGAAAGCTATCTTTTAAAATGAGTTTCTTTTGCTCATGATAATAAGTAACATCACATTTCATTTACTGCTGTGGATTCCAGCAAGTAAGTAGCTGATGTAATTATAAAGCTTCACTAGAGGGCTGTGGACCCAAGGGGCTGAGACTCAGTTTCTGCATTTATAAACTGGATATACCAGGGTCTGCCTCACATGGTAGATGGAGAATTATGGGATTAAATACTTTGTACCTAGTATGCTACTTAAGAGACGGTAGTTTTATTGTGACTAAGGCTCTGTAGGATAAGCACTGGACTGCATGGTTGGTTTGAACCATCAGCTGCTCCTCAGAAACACTATGTACGGTCGCTGTGAATCAGAACTGACTTGATGACACTTAAAAAGCCTCATTTTTAATCATCTAATTTTAAGAGCTTTTTATATAATAAAAGATGGCTCTAGGTTAAGCACTGGACTGTGAGCCACAAAGTTGACTGTTTGAGCCCACCAACTGCTCCTGCAAAGATTTATAGCCTGAGAAACACGATACAAGGTGTCTATAGCAGTTGGAACTGACTCGACAGCATGTAACACCACCAAATAACAGAAAGGAACTCTCAAAATGTGGTTGGGTTAGGCGTTGGGATGCTAACCATAAGGTTGGGGGTTCAAATCTGACAGCTGCTCAGTGTGAGAATGATGAGGCTGTCTGCCCCTATAAAGACTTACAGTATAAGGTTGCTATAAGTCAAAATCAACTTGATGGTGATGGGTTTTGGTTTTGGTATGTAATAGAACTACTGACTGCTACTCCTTGTGGTTTTTAAATGTTGGAAGTTGGTGAACATTTTGATCAACTTGGTATTTGTAAGTCAAATCTTGATTGCATCAAGAAATAAAAAGTGTACAAACCACAATTCTAGGCATGCTTAGGAATCCTATTACAATGGGTTAAACATTGGGCTGCTATTTGCAACGCTGATGGTTCGAAATACTATAGGGCTGTTTTACTCTGACCTATAGAAAATGTATTTGCTTTGGTTTAGTTAGGATTACAGGGCGTCTTTGGGTGGTACATAAAGTTAAGCCATTTGGCGGCTAATCGAAAGGTTGGTGTGGCTGTACAAGGTCACTCAGAGGCACTTTGGGAGAAAAGATCTGATGGTCTACTTCCAAAAGCAGTCGCTGAAACCTCTTATCTATGGAGATAACTGGCAAAACATAGTCCATAAAGACAATATTCTACATCTGTCTTTGGCGAGTTACTGTTAGATGGCACTGAGTTGGTTCTGACTCACAGCAACCCTATCAACAACAGAATGAAACACTGCACAGTCCTAAACTATCCGTACAAATCGTTGCGCTTGAGCCCATTGCTGATGCCACTATGCAAATCCACCTTGTTGGGGTCTTCCTCTATTTCACTGGTCTTCCACTTTACCAAGCATACTATCCTTCTCCAGGGACTGGTTCCTCCTGATCATATGTTTGAAATATGAGAGACGAAGTATGGCCATCCTGGCTGCCAAGGAGTATTCTGGCTGTCCTTTTCCCAATACAGAATGGTTTGTTCTGGCAGTCCATGACACTTTCAAAAATATTCTCCTCCAACACCACAGCTCGAAATGCATCAATTCTAAAGTCTTTATTCATTGTCCAACTTTCACATGCATATGAGGTTACTGTAAACACCGTAACTTAGGTCAGGTGCACCTCAGTCCTACTCTTTTTTTTTTTTAAACACTCAGGCATCTATAATAATTTATACCACCCAAGGGCACATTCTGCAAGTCTGCCTCCTGGCCGCCAGCTCTCAGTCCCTCTCTTTCCCTGAATCAACTGCTCCCTCTCTCCATGTCCCCATCTCTGCCTCCATCTCTGGTGTCACTGCTTTTTTGGATAAGGACTTGCATTCCGCTTGTGCTCTTCTCCCTTGATGGTCCTAGAGTCCTCTGTTTCTGGCCTCTAACATTAACTACTCCCCTGTTTTGTGGAACTACAAGATAAGCACTGGACTTCTAACCACAAGATTGGTAGTTCAAACCTACCAGTTAATCCTAGGAAACTCTGTAACAGGGATGCTATGAGTTGGAACTGACTTGACAGCACATGATAACAATATATATATATATATATATATATATACTGTGTGTGTGTGTGTAAAGAGGGGCCCCATAATAAGGCCTTGGGTGTATTGGCTTTTAAAACATTTTGTTGTGAACTGACTGAAGGGTTACAGACAAGATCATCAGTTTTACACTCAACAAATCCTACACTTAGTTTCATCTCAATGATTACAATCCTCTCCATGTAACAACAGCTATCCTGCTTCCCCCCTGTGCTTCCTATTTCCATTCCATCCACCTTCCCAGCCCTTCTCAACTTTGTCCTAAGAAAATGTTGCTCTTTTGATTTTGAATGACTGACCATTCCAGAGTGAGCATATCACCTTACTAGTGTTGTTGGATCCCCTATGTACGCATCTAGTGGCTTGGCTGAAAAGTGGACCATGAGGGTGAG